TTGAGTTAAAGTAAGCTCTGTTCCATTTTCAAGCGAAATTTTTTTTGGAATAACGTATTTCTGAAATTTACGTGTTTTAATAATTGAAATCAAAATTTCCATGGTAACAGCGAATTGTTTAAATTGGGTAGGCGTGCGTTGGGTGTTAATAGTAAGTATCAGTATAGAGTTACTTTCATAGATGTCAAGTCAGGGTAAGGTGGGGGTGTCTAAATTTGAAACGGAAGATATATTAACCCTACTCTGGTATGCTTGTCTATGGAGATTTATTTATTTTTTTATTTTACATTTTTATGAAAGGGATTTGTGCATATAAAAAATCTGCCGTAACGTTTGTTTTTTAACGACTTCATAAAGGGTTATCTTTTTTGTAGGGTATTTAAACTATTTATTTGGGCTATGGATTTTGAAAGTTATTATATTGTATGCTTGTTCGTAGCTAATTATTCAAACCATGAATCTGATGATTGAGCTATGGATTAATCAAGTTATTATATCGCATGCTTGTTTTTAGCTAATTATTCAAAACATGAATCTGATGATGTCGACAAAAAACCGTTAAGACATGAGTTAACCGTTAAGAGACATGAGTTAACGGTTTTTATATATATATATATATATATATATATATATATAACAGGAAGAGGCTATAGTAGTTCAACGAGAGAAAAATGTGTATATTAAAAAGGAGAGAAACCCCCAAACGGTTTTGGTTGCAATGTGAATCTTTTTTAAAAAATATTATGCTTTATTTTCCATAATTCTGCTATACGGGTTTCCTGGCTCGCGAACGTCATTAGGCAAAGCGTGAGATTTCCACATATAAAAATAATTAATTTTTTCTTATGTTTTCGATGTTAAATATTCTCGATATATATATATATATATATAATATATATATATATATATATATATATATATATATATATATATATATATATAATTACATGGATCATTCATACAAAAAACATATATAGAGTATAGTGATTTAAATGGCGAGAATACATCTTCGCAAACAATTTCAATAAGTTACACTAAATATGATCCCTGTTTATAAATTCCTGTTTCAAAAGGTCTTTTTAATTTTTTACAAGCTTTCGTCTGTTCCTACAGACATCCTCAGGTATGGAAATAGATTTGTTCTTGTTTTTTACTTCTCGGTAATAAGAGGACAACGAAAATAGAGATGCAATCCAAAAAAAGGCTATGAGAAATGTGTTATTGTTTTGGAACGTGCAGTCGCAAGGCTGAGTTTGAATTTTAAATTTTAAGGTTGTACGCTTTTGTAAAACCTACCAGTACAAAAGAATTCTCTTACTACTATATTTGTACCTTATTGAAATTTTGTATGAATGATTCATGTAATTATAAATTGAACTGCACCTATAATCGAAAAATATATATATATATATATATATATATATATATATATATATATATATATATATATATATATATATACTGTTTGTAAAAAACTCGGTTAGTTTAACTTGTAGATATGTCAAAAATATCGGTACACGAGAAAAAATTAGAAAAAAAGAAGAAAAGAACTGAAAACATCGGAAAAGGGCGGAACTAATCGCCCGGTTCCTTAAGTCTTTAATCCAAAGAGAAAAAAAAAACAAAAAAAACAAGCAATTAGTAAGACTAAAACGTAGAGTGCTCAATACGCTAAGTAGAACGGGAATAACTAAAATAATCCTAAACTTAGGTAGTTTTTCCTGGCTCTTTACGATTTATTTTATTTATATATATATATATATATATATATATATAGATAGATAGATAGATGTGTGTGTGTGTGTGTGTGTGTGTGTGTGTGTGTGTGTGTGTGTGTGTGTGTGTGTCTTTTAGAACTGTTGGTGTCTGTTGAATTTTAAATCACTCCAATTATGTAAGATTTATTTCTTATCTTTCTTACCATGTATACACTTAAAAATATTAATAGATCTTTTTTACAATATAATTGGTATTAATTTACAGATGTCCTTCAAATATCCAGGATATATTTATATTTATACCACACTCTGGCTATTCCAGCAAGTAATGCCATTTAATATTTTAAATATTTTCAGTAATCAATTCGGTGGTATTTTAAAGATACACTGCTGTCATGGTACCGTTTGGTTATGATTCAGTTAATTGGTGGTGAGACTGGTTTGACCTCTACAGAGCAGATACCTAGGCTGTGTTACACAGATGCTACCCAAATCACACATCCTTCTCTCGATTTTACCAGCAAGATCCGAAGTATTGCATAAACAAATATATATATAATAATATATCTATCAGTATTTATGTTTTTTGTTATTTTAGATATATAAATATTGTCATGTGTTATGAGAAAGAAAACATTTTAAATGAGAAACGGATTGCAGATATTGGATGTAAATGAAAGATAAAACACTCGGAAAGTTTTGAATAGATCAGAAAACGAAAAATAAGACCATTATAAAAACGATATCAAACGAATATTTCGGAAAATGTACATTGCTTCCATTTGAATTTGTCGTTGCTAATTGACTTTACCGTTGCCGACTGAGTTCATCTTTGCTAAATAATTTATTTCTTCTCACTGACTTCATCACATGAACCTTGTGTTAAAAGACTTTATCACTTGAAATTTGACGACTTATTTCGTACGTACAAAGCTGACCCCAGCCTTACATACCGCTTTTTCTCTATTCTACCTCATCCTTTCGTATTTAATACTAAATATCTATTAAATGTTTCATCTGTTGCCCAATTTTTAAATATATTTTGACACGCTATCTGAATGTTTTTGCTTAACGTTGTCATTGGTCAAGATTTAAAACAAGCAATTATGTCAAAACTGGACATTATACATGAAATACAGTGAATTATTATTGTTGCGTTTATCACAAAATTAGTGTGCTCTTCAGCTTTACTCATATTAATAGTGTTCGATATGGTGCGCGGCGAGGTGAAATCGGAGAGCCAAGTTCGAATTCTAGTCGGGTTCGTTACATTCACTTACGTGCAAATACATTTGGGAAAGTTATTAAGTCGTCGCTTCTCCCCCCTCTAAGTGTTGAATAGCAGGATCCTATAGCCTTGTTTGGCAACCAACCTACCTCAGAAAGAAACGGCGATCTACTATGGCAAAACCTGCTTAGTCAGTCATGAATCAAAAGCGACATGATCACCCAAACGTGTATCCCATATGGCACTTAACTGACGGGTCACCAAAATGGATGCTATAGCCTTGTTTGGCAACCGACATACTGTAGAAAGAAACGGCAATCTAATGTGGGGAAACCTTTTACCTTGTCAGTCATGAATCGAAAGAGACATGATCGCCCATGCGTGTATCACGTATGCCACCTAACTGACTGTGTAACTGATTGTGTAAATCAAAATACAAAAATTAGAATGATGGCTACTGCATAGCTTTCGTTGAATAATAATTAGTTGTTGACAACATCAGGTTTTTTCTGAAGGATATACAATATGAAATAAAATAGTGAATAATTTTTATTTTTATTTACAATTCAACCACTAATTTATATAATTTCCCTTACATTTGTCATTATCGCAAAGTTTCGTTCATAGCCCCTCCACCCCGGTCGCTTGCCTGTGTAAGTAATCACCAGAGAATTTCGAACGGAAACACTTTATAAAATCAACAGGCGGGAATTTCCTCACCACGCTGTCCATGTCTGCGTATATCTTGTTTGTTGTTATTCAGACGGAGCAATAGCCGTTTAGATTAAAGCGGGAGATGTGAGTTCAATCCCTGGTCATGTTAGTACAGACTCGGACTCAGTGAAAAAACAATTCACATCCAAATTCAGGGCTTTCTCATTTCTGTTGAAATACCCACACCATGATTGACCATTTCTTCAGTGGAGGTAACCGTACTCAGTACGCTTGCCCAATTGCGGGTTGGTGAGTCTATTTAACACATAGTTGGAGGTTTTGAACACAGAGTTGTCCTTCTCTTAGACTGGTTGCTACCTAAAGCTAGAGGACCCAGTCTATCTTATTTAATATGAGAATGGGGAGAAGATATGGATTATCTGCTAAGGGATAAATTCAAAGCTTATCCTAGGGAATGTTAACGAACTTAACTGGAATTCGAACACGGTTCTTTGTTTCTTTAATTCGATCCGCTATCCATTACTTCACCGCCCCTCCATATTTGTGCAATATTATTTTTATTATCCTTTTTTATTCTACAATGACAATAATATAATATGATCATACAGTATAAACGTAAATCCAGCGTTTAATTCCATCTGTAGGTAACTTCATAAAGGTTTCATCTTTGCTATGCAGCAATAGCTAACGGAGTATTATTTGGATATAGATTATTTTTCCAGGGAAAGAGAATATCTGGTTCATGTTATTTGAAAAAGAGAAGGGGCGTTGGTAAATGAAAGGATTCCTTTCGCTCTAAAAATGCCACGAAGAACCTAACAGACATACTTGGAATTCTTCAGTCTGACCAGAAGAACCGTCGTAATTGACTAACTTTCAAGCAAGTCAGTGATCTTCAGATTCTGTTGGAATGGATTCCAAGACCTTTCACTTCTTTTCGATAACATTTGTTAGACTATGTAGTTCTTCATTGCCTTCCTGTACAATGATATCTGGATTTGCTGCACACATTAATACAGATCAGTCCATTGATTCAGTCAGTTACTTCATAGATTTTCATTTGGGAGTTTTGTTCTCGTATCCTGACTGTTTCTCGATTATTATCGAACTCTGCTAGCGTCTTTCCCTTCCGACGTGTGTTCTGCTTCCATCTTTCCCAACATCGACTTCTATCCGCACCCACCACTGACAGCCGCATATGTCGATGAAGCAACGATGTGTTATTTAGTGTCAAAGCGTCATCCACTCTGGCCAGCCGCGTAGTTCCGTACGACTGACTTCTCCGCCGTTAAAGATACCAAACAAGTTAAATCTTCATCGATAACATAGCTTTACTGGTTCAGCCAGGCCTGAAAAATTTACTGTTCTCAACTTGATCAATGCACGTGATCGATTCTTGTTCGTTCCACTTTCTCGCCTATCTTTCCCGAATCTTTCTTTCTTTCCAACTCAGAACCTTTCTCTCTCTTTTTCTCTCTGTTCTCGATCTTTTTCTTCGACATCCCTGTGCCAGTAATTCTCTTTGTTCGGTTCATGCGTTACGATCAGCATTTCTTGACATTCTTGTCTCTAGATTTTGTCTTTCTTCGAAAAGATCAATAAGCATGATTAGGTTCTCTTTTGTCCATTCCTGCATCCCAGTTTTCTCTTTATTACTTCCTGCTTTCCAATTTTACCTTCCTTTAGAGATTCTTTCTGCATTAATACAAACATTGCCTTTTCTTCCTTTTTTACGTTCTCGATTTTCTACTCGCCATATTAACTTCATCTTTTTCTCTTCCTATCATTGCTTCTTTTTGTAATCCACTTTCTTTAGATCCCTTTCGTCATCCTCTTTTTTTTATTATTCTTTTTGTCTCTTTATTCTTTCTTTGTCTTTCTTACTCCGTTTTTTCTTCATTATTTTTTTCCTTTTCCTCTCCTTTCTCTCCTACTTAATTTCCTTTATTTCTTCGATACAGATTTTAACTTATTTGGTTAGTTAGTTCATGTTTAGCCGCATATCAACCAAAATATTTCGGCATAAAGTAAACCATGTACGTTACTTTATTTTTGGGGAAATAATAATGGTTTAGTGAAACAGGTCTTACTCATAAACCTAAAGCTGCGGGAGGTGGATGATTCATAACTTTCCCAAGGGTACCCCTACGCAATTAGAATTGGAACTCGGCTCTTCGATTAAATTTCCGAACCATTATCTATTACACCACCCGCATGTCGAAGCTTACATCATCTCTTATTCCTCGCCGTCACCCATCCAGATGTTGACCAGGCTCGATGTAGCTTAACTTTGGTGATCGTATGGTAATCGGTGTTTCAACCTGAGATGGCCGTAAGCCATACATTTTAAATTATGATTCCATGTTATCTCTATAATTTCTTTTGGTTTTGATACATTTTTTTTTCAGTACTTCGTTCTCTTTTTCCCCTTTCTTTCTTTCTTTCTTTCTTTATCCTTCATTTTTATTTGTTCTTTTCTTCTCCTTTTTTAATTCCTCAAATTGTTCGCTTTCTTTTTCTTACCTGCATTGTTGTTCTATTATTGACATTCTTACGTTTATTTTCCAGTTCATGAGTTCCTTTCAGTGTTTAGTTTTCTTTTTATCTCTGTCTTTTTTATTGATGCCAATCCAGCTTTCTTCTAGAGAGTTTCTTTTCTTTCTGTTCTTTTTCGGTTCAAATCCCTCAGAGTCCTTCTTCGTTTCTATTTTTTCTAGTTTTAACCCTTTTTTTTTATAATTCTCAATACTTTATGCTTCAAAATCATTCAGCTTCTAAAGATTCTTTTATGAACGACCAGTTATTTGTTCACGTTTCTTAATCTGTTTCATTCTTCATTTAATTTCTCTTTCATATTCGTTCTCTGTTCTCCACTATTAACCCCTCTTATAATATATTTCTTCCCCCGGTTTAATTCTCCTCTTTCCTCTCTTCTTTTTAATTTGTTTTCATTTTCTTCTTTGTCACTTTTTTTCCTTTTCATTTTTTCATTCTTTTTATTTTTTTCATTCTTTACCATTTCTTCTTTGTCTCATTTCTTCTTTTTCATTTTTTATTTCTTTTTCATTTTTAATTCTTTTTATTTTTTCAATTTTTCATTCTTTTCCACTTCTTCTTTGTCAAATTACTTCATTTTCATTTTTTCATGTCTTCATTCTTTTCATTTTTTTATGCTTTTCATTTTCTTCTTTGTCCCATTCCTTGATTTTCATTAACTTTTCATTATTTTTCATATATTTTTCATTCTTTTCCTTTTTCAATTTTGCATTCTTTTTTTATAATTTTTTTCATTCTTTTCATGTTTTTCTTGGTCTCTTTTCTTGCTCATTCTCTTCATTTCTTTCCCTCTCAAATTCATTCCTGTTCATCGCTAACCCTCCTATAATTTCTTTGTTTCCACGACTTTATTCTTGTTCTCTTTCACTCCTCCTCTTTCCTCGCGTCTTTTTAACTCCTTTTCATTTTCTTCTCTGTCTCTTTCCGTATTTTCTATTTTTTCATTTTTCTATTTTTTTGTTTTTTCATAGTTTTTAATTTGTCGTTCTTTTTTTCATTTCATCTTTTCATTTTTTTATTCTTTTCATTTTTTTTTTACATTATTTTAATATTTTTCATTCCTTTCATTTTTACCTTTATCTCTTTCCTCCATCTTTTACTTAATTTATTTCTTCAAATTTATTCAATTCCCTGCTATTTAATGGCGTATAATTTTTCCTTCACCCGGTTTAATTCTTTTCCTCTCTTTCACTCCTTCTTTCTCCTCACTTCTTTTTTTAGTCCTTTTTCATTTTCTTCTTTATCTCTTTGCTTAACTTTAATTTTCTTTCCTTTTTTTATTCTTTTCATGCTTTAATTTTATTTTTTATTCTTTTCATTCTTTTTATTTGTTTCATTCTTTTTATTCATTTTTTAATTCTTTTTATTTTATCCTACTTTTTATTTTTTTTATTCTTTTAATGATTTTCATTCTTTTCATTTCATTTTTTCATTCTTTTTATTTTTCATTAATTTTATTTTTTTTCCATTCTTTTTATTATTTTATTCTTTGTCTCTTTCCTTTCTCATTTCCTTGATCTCTTTCTCCGTCAAATTTATTCTCTGTTCCCGCTATTAACCCTCTTACCAATTCTTTCTTCTCCCGATTAAATTCTTCTTCTTATATTTCCCTCATTCCCTCTCTTCTCATTTCTTTTTAACTCTTTTCATTCATTTCTTACCCTTAAGACTCCCCCAACCCCAACATTCAGATTCAATTATTTCCTACGTAACAGCGATATAACCTCTAGCAGGGCGTCAATAGATATTGGGTCAACAAGCACATTCTCTCATTATACCAAATGCCGTGGAGACGGATGGTATCAATAATCTTAAGTGTTAACAGTATTTCACTTGTCTGTTATAATTATAGCTAAGGTTATAATCACCATGGCAATAACGTCGATTTCTGAAAGATCTTTACATTATAGATCAATGGTATTGGCTGAAGGCCGATGAAATCGCCGTTTTATTTCAGAGTCTCAATTAATAAAGATTTTTCCTTCCAACGTGTTCTGATAAAAATAATATTTTACTGTAATATATTAGAAAATTAAGTTTATTTTTGCGTGAATTACTGAGACAAGGCATTGATATTACAAATGGATTTGTATTGAATATTGCTGGCAGTCTGATCTGGTGCATCTGCTATGTATCTGTTGTAGCATACCTACGGACGATAAATGGGTATGTCCTCATTCACATAAATAAAGAAGTAAATACTGTATGTTGGTCTAGAGTTAGAGATTCGTCTCCAGCTGTGCTGGTCTAACTCTCTTCCTCCGTACAGAGAGGATCCCCAGACGAGGCTACGTATCGTCTCAACTCGGGAAACAGCTACCCGACCTGTCCTAAGTGTTATCGTTCATTATCAACATTCGTGTGATTATTATATTCAGTAACTTTCCCTGGGTTACAACAGTATCTCTATTCTTGAGAAAACTCAAAGAAGAGTCGTCAATGTTATCGTTCCCATCGCCATAACGTCGCTCTCCTGTGCCTTTTCTATAAAACATATTTTCAAGGCAATTTTACCGATGAGATTTCCTCTTTGGTACGATCAACTCCTCGAACTTAAGCGCAGTACTAGATTTCTCTTAGTAATAAGAGGACAACGAACAAAATTTGTTCATCACCATATTTGGTATAAACGCAAACACTTTAAAAATTTAAAATCAAACTCAGCGTTGCTTTGGCGCGTTCAAAAACCAATAACTCATTTTCAATAGCATTTTCGGATACAACAACACATATATTTTCGTTGTCCTCTTATTACTAAGAGAAAAAAACAAGAACAACATCCATTCTGAAGATGTCTGTAGGAACAGACGAAAGCTTGTAGTAAAAATAACAACTAATACGGCAGAAATTTATATAAACAAGGATCAATTCATTCATAACGGATCTGGAGGTTTTTGTAAACTATTTGAATTGTTTGCGATGATGGATGTCTCGCCATTTAAATCATTAACCTTTGCATTAGTTTTGTGTGAATAATTCATGTATTTGTAAATTGATTGCACGTTTATTATATATATATATATATATATATATATATATATATATATATATATATATATATATATATATAAAGTAGCCGAATTACCCGCACCTTGCTGCATGTCACGTTTTTTTTTGTAACAAAATGATGATTGATTTTAAAAGGTTAAATCATTGTTATAATTTGAGGAGAACAATGATGCATTTCAATATTACTCAATGACCTTGCAGATGTGACCTCTATCTTCTGGATTACTCCATCTTCTGGCTTTCTCCATCTATATTTTGAATAGTAGCCATTCGTTCAAATACAAATTTATTTTAATTAAAGGAAAACGTTTTCAGTGGCACTTTTGTGCAAAAACAACTTGATCTGACCACTTTTCTAGGTATTTGATGCAATACATAATTGAATTAATTAATGAAAACATTTCAACATTGATATGGCTGTTGAATTGTCGCACCAAATATATATTGTAAGGCACTACTCACTGATTAGTGATTTTTTGCTCAACTTGACATCCATAGTGTCTCATTTTGATCTTGCCGATGTTAACTCCAGCTTCTGGGTTTCTTCATCTATATTTTGGTTATGGTTTATCAGTATCTTCCATACTTATCATCATAAACAGTACCTCTTACTATGTAATCCTCTACCTTAAGTGGCTCGTGAGAGTTGTACAGCATGGAGCTTATTTTAAAAAAAAATCTATCACATTCCCTTCATTTCTGTCTTTCTTTCTCTCTCTCTCTCTCTCTATACATATATATCTATGGCAGTTCATATCTATCTATCTATCTATCTATCTATCTATCTATTGCAGTATGTTGATATCTATCTATCTATCTATCTATCTATCTATCTATCTATCTATCTATCTATCTATCTATGTCATATATGTCATGTAAGATTTTATTTAAAGTTTTGTTTTGTACTCATGAAACATTTCTTGAAGTATCTGCAAATTCCGAGCCGTGTTAAATCACTTGATATTTTTCCTCAGTGGCGTGACAGCATTGTGTCAAATTGGAATTGGTCTTAAACGTGAACCCAAGAAAAAACGTTGCAGAAGCCCCGCTAGGCTTGAACGCACTAAGTAATGAACTTGTGTAAATATACTTGTTTGTGTCCAACATGAAGCCAGAGAATGTCAGTACACCGATAAAAAAGTAAATAAAAAAAAAAAAAAATCTAAAACTCAGAGAATGTCATTGTTGTGAAGCTCCAGATTGCTTGAGCACGGCCATTAGCTTCATGGATGCGCGGTAAGCTTGCCGGGGGAGAGGTGTGGTCGTTTCGGCATGGAAGATATTTTTTCCGCAGTCAGATTAGAGGTATTCAGACTTTGGTGTGACCTGCGTGCCTGGCTGGCGCTGTTGGTGGGTCTGCGTAGAGCAATGATTGTCCCCACAGTTAATACTCAATTTCAGCTATTTCATGTTTGATTTTGAAAGGCGAATAAGCGGTGTCCTCTTCACTCATAGTAAATAAATAAACATTTTGAAGAACGAATCTAAGCAGTAGAGATAACAGTATGTGTACACCGATATGCCGATGTGCATGTACACGACATGATTCCATCAGTGCAAGGGAAAAAACACCAGCCTCTGATTCCACACACACACACACACACACACACACACACACACACACACACACACACACACACACACACACATATATATATATATATATATATATTGATAGACTAATGAGGCAAAGGGACATATAAAACATGAACACCGGTTATAGTTATGCATAGACTGTAAACACTGAAGAGGTTGGAACGCTGAAATTTTAAATTTATGATACATTTTATTTTTTTAAAGACTAGTAATGTAGTAAAATGGATTTAATTTCCTTTTCATTATTTTTTCGATGTCTTTTAAAAAATATTATTATTTAGTATCCCACATCGTGATCATCGAAGATCTTCCACTATATACATACATACACACACACACACACACACACATATATATATATATATATATATATATATATATATATATATATATATATATATAGTGTGTGTGTGTGTGTGTGTGTGTGTGTGATAAAATACAATTCCACTGTATGCTATATTTATTTAAGTGTTAAAGTGCTCAATATCAGATACAGGGCGTATGTAAATATAAAAGTGGAAATTAAGTCAACACCCAGTGACGACAGTCTGTTTCATGCTTAAACGTAATCATCAGGTCAATTATCTTGTGTTTCTGTTCACCGATTCCTTATACATACATACATATACACACACACACACACATATATATATATATATATATATATATATATATATATATATATATATATATATATCAATAAATAAAAATATATATTTTTGTATATAAAGAATAGTATTGGGAAAATGTATGACAAAGTTGAAGATGTTTTCTCATGACGTGTTTCGTCCTTTAGGACTTTAAATCTGTTATACTGGTGCGATTGCACATGCGCATGAACGTGGGATGCTGGGAATTTTAAATTTAATTTTTAAGCTTTGTAAAAATCTAAACGATTTCATTTAGATTCTTTTTCTTTTATTTTCTCTCAGTTTTGTTAATAGATATCTAACACTGTGATAATAGAATTTCTGACAGTTATGACAAAATGTTTTATGATGCAGGGCAAAAATCTACTGTGGATGACAACACAAAAAATACATAAGGGAAGCCT